GGAGGGAATATATGAAATGGATAAATAGAGACGAAAAGTAAAACAAAAATATGGGATGCAAACAAAAAAACTTTTTCAGTATATGTTTTTCCGCCAATAATAAATGAACTCACCGACTTGAATAGCTTTATTTATTATGGTGCCTAAACTATTTTCTTTATTGACCAAAAAAAAAACTATTTTCTTTTTTAGCTTCTTCTCTCTGCTTCACACATTTTAAAAACTTTCTAAAACAAATGAAAGATTAATTAATTATCTGTTCTCTTATGTATGACTTTTTGTACCTAATCCGCAAAAAGAAACAAGCAAACTTTATAGATATTTTGGTGAATAAATGGAGGAGTATTGGAGACCATGGTATTTCAATTACCTGAAGCTGTTTTATATGCATTTCGATTAGTTATATTATTAAGGAGCCAGTCTCCTCGAAATGATAATCAAGTCTCTAATCTTGATCCATTTTTTTCGAATTAGTAACTTAAAGCAGCTCATAATACAATTGCTTTGTAAATGTGTATACATTTATATCGTCTGTATACCGGGAAATTAAATTCGAATATTGATGGATTTGTAAATAAAGTTGTGTGCTAATTAAAGAATACCGAAGGATTCGTGAATTGTTTGGTATGATGCGTTCAAAAATATGCTGAGTCGTATTCTAGAATCTAGACGGTCTTCATGTATACATGGCAAAGGAAAAGGATATGTTCATTTGGTTTAATTGGAGGATTTTCCATGTATCAGCCGGTCCCATATGTCATTATGTCTTGTACAAGACAATTCACGTTTTTATATGGTAGTTTAATTGGAAAATTTTTGTTGTTTACAACTTGATTCTTGTTTTCGTGTACCATATATTAAGTTTTTTAAGAAACTACCATAAATCAATTTGTTAAAACATTAACCGTGTTAAGCTAAATGTCTTAATATACAGTACCAGATCTTATTAACAAAGGTACTGCTTCATATTGTTCGAAACGAATTTTCAGTACATTTGGGACGATTAATTATTGATGGTGGTGTATGTCGAAGTGTGAATGTGTGTTAGTTGGGAACTCAATAAATCAATAACACTATTTTCTTTGTTAAAAGTCAACAACGCTAATTACGCTTTCAAACTAGTAATTTATGCTTAACTATTGTGCTTTTTGGTGTTAAAAGATAAATGTTGTAATTAGGGAGTTCCAGTTTTCTATTTCAAAAGTCAAAAAGACTCATCTTTATTACTTCCCTTTTAAAAAATAAATAAATCACGTCTTAGATTATTCTTGTTAAGTAATGATTACCTTATCTTTTCGAACATATGAATGATGATTTAAGGTGTTTCAAACATAACATTCGTTTGATCTTGTAACCATTTTTTTTTTGTTTCTGCAACCAATTTCCCCAACACAAATATATAAGTTATGAAAGTATTTAGAAAATTCAATCATATATAGAAAAGATGAATTACAATATTGTTTCATGCGTATACATCTAAAATTTCATTATCTCAAATCCACGAGATGATCAAAGTAATGCGAGTAATGGGATAAAGTTTATATAATACATATTAATTCCCGCAAGTCATAACATTTTTATTGATACTGTGTTTAATGATAAGTGATAATATAGTACTTAAAGAGCGTAGTTACGTTTGATAACTAATTACAGTAACCTTATCATCATGATAGGAGCACCTTTGGCATTAGGCAATATATAGACATGCAAATTTACGTAACTTCAACGTAAATACTAACGGGCACATGATAAAACGACGACTCTTTTTAGTGAAAGCAACAATACAACTAAATGTGGTCAAATTATATGAAAGTAGATGACGTGTCACTCACTTATTGATTTGTTGTCTGACATTTCTCATATTCACTTATTGTGGCCTATCTGATGAAATTGACACGTGTAAAACTACATTTTGCTTGCTTGAATAACCTTTTTATCGTTGTAATTTTACCTTCAATAGGAGTCAGCCGTCCTTTTCCTTATGCTTTTAGCTTTAGATGGCTTCTTGAAGAAAGTAAAAACTGAAAAACAGAACAAGCTCACTCGGGTTTAGGTTGGCCAATTATTTTTAATTATGTTCCAAGTTTGGCTCAAATTGAGCTATCCGGAGGCAAAAGGAAAAGAGTTTTCTCTATAATTTACCGACTAGCCAAGTTTGTAATCTTTTTTGTGTGTGTGTGTGTGTGTTTTTTAATTTATCTTTTTTTCTTATGTGTGGATATTTATTTTTCTTAATTATTTTGTCCATCTACTTTGAATAATCTTTTCAACTGTTATTTCGTTTAAATATGGTATTTTTATTTCATCAACCGACTGTCCTTTCATACTTTTCTAATGACAAAATTGTCTTTTCAAAATCTATTTCCATCGGTTTAAGTCCACTTCAAAATGGTGGTTTTCTCTTGATTTGCTTTACCAACAACCATAGTAGCAAGCTCCATTCTCAACTTCTCCTTTCATGCAAGTATTAAAACTCTGTATTAAAAGTCTGGAAAACAACCTAATACAAATAGAGAGAAATCAAATCATTATAAGTGAAAACTTTACTCTTTTTCTGCACGCCTCCAAAGTTGTATTGCTCCAACTGGCAAGCTTTTCTCTTCCTCCTCCAAGGCGAGCAATTCTCTGCCAATTGCAAGGATTGAGTGTACCTCGGCGGCAACATCCGCTCCATCGAGATCAGCAAAGGAATTTTTGGTCATCAACCACCACCCGAATCTGTAAAAAAGACCAAAACACTCACAATCACTCTTTAATTGAATTAATTGATAAACCTGTTTTTTTTTATTTCTATCTTAAAACACTCCACACATATGTTACACCGAATATTGGAGAGCGAATTTCTTAATTTTAACATCTACCTCAAAAAACTATTGTAGATAAACGAAAAGCAGTCGAGGCATCAATAGTTTCAAAAGGAAAACCATGATCACCTTTCCATATCTTGACAATACGATCTTCACTACCACGAGATACACGTGCGTCAACTGAATGAACATGGGAGGTGTGGCCACGCATCACCAACAAAACTTCATCTAGATTTCTCTGATTGGCTTGTTGTATGACATTTTTTATGTTTGTTTATTGTGGCGTATTTCATAACATTTTGACACGTGTATAACCATTTTTTGCTTACTTGAATAACTTTTTTGCTTTTTTTGCCGGCCAATTGATTCTCGAGTCTATGCGAATTAAAAAGAAACGATAAAAACTACGTGAAACGAGAAAGACTGTAATTTTAAAAAAAACACACACAGAAAAAACTATTGATGATAAACTTCGTTAGTGCAATTTAAATCCAGATTTCGACATAGTTTTTAGCTTGATAATTCACTATCCACAATTTATAAATTTATAAATCAATAATTGTTTGAATTCCGATTTAAATAGATTTATATATACTTTAAACCACTTTGAGTTCCGATTGTTTGTTTATTTTTATTTTTTCAACTTTATATAAATTTATCCATATCTATTTCTTCTATTAAGAACACTGAACACACAAAAAAAATCTATAGAAAGTCGGATACTGTTAGGTGGGCCAAACAAGGCCTAATCTTTAAAGACCATCACAATATGGGGGCCATTGAGTACAAACAAAAAGCTTTCCTCAAGATTACAGCTGATGTGAAATTTGCAGAGTCGAGCAAGAATAGTTTTTTTGGGTTTTGGTTTATTGAGAAACTTTCACAATCCCTCAGCTTTTTTACGTTCTTCAGCCATTCTCTTCTTGATCTCTTGTGCTGCATTGAAAATCCCCAGAGTTGGTTGGTTACACACAAAGCACTTCTTGTTCTTCGTGTGATGCTGCATCATCATTACATAAACAAACTATTAGCTTCACAAACCAAAATCAAAATCATATAAGTGTGACTTAAAT